AAAAAAAAAAAGGAAAACTAGAGATACAGTCATTGTCATTGAAAGGTACTGGTAACATTTGGCATCCCAGCAAATCCAAAAGTGCTGTACCTGGGGGCGGCAGGTCACAAGACAATGTGGAAAAGGTAGGTGAGACAGAAAGCAAAGTCAAATAATGTTTTCTGACTCTAGTGATTGTGGAAATTCTTTGGATAAGACATAAAAGAAGAACATGCACTGTGTAAATATAGTAAAATGTGGTGTTGCCCTAAGTGCTCAAAACATTACAAGCAGCATGTGGAACAGACTCTTAAGGGAGTTTTGTAGTTCCCATAAATCAGCAGCTGTACAGCTCATGCAGTAATGTCACCAGTGTGACAATTTAGTCCTGAACCATAAAAGAAACTAGAGATTCATATAATATGTGTAGTATTTCAGACTCATTGTTTACTGTAGTAAATACACAGTAAAATCCAAACCTTTATTTATCTGTTAAAATAATCAAGGACTTGAATCTGTCTGTGAAATTGATGCTGCCTTTCTTTAACATTAATCTCAACATTAATACCACACATTGCCTCGCTGCGGCTGCACAGGAACGTCCTGGAATGGAAGGTTTCTGGGAAAAGCTGTGGTCTGTCTCGAAGGCTTCCCACATCATCACACTGGGAGCAGAATCCAACTAAATCAGTCTGTTTGGAAGACGTTGTGTTTAGTTACCTGCGGTTTTTCGGCACAGCATTCTTCAGAGACTGGTGGGACATTTTGGACGCTGGCCTTGATAGCAAAGCACGTTGTAAATATTGTCGAGGCAGGCCGAGGTGGGCAGATGGTGAAAGGTTTTGTTTTCTTGGTTTTCTAAGAAAGAGCGAAAGCTTGTGGTTTTCAGTTTTCTAGTTCCTTGTTGTTGTTCTCTCAGCAAACATAACTGCAGTGGTTGAAACTTAGTAAGACGCATTTGTTCTCAGCCCAGAAAGCGGACACATTCCGTCTCAGTGGTTTTGCGGCAAGGTAAATAAGTGAAAAATCTAGGATCAGCATCACTGGAACATCATCTACACCTAAACCATAACCAATGTTAAAAAAAATGCACCAGCTGTTGCAGTAATTATTTTAGACGAATGAGAGAGAATAAGAGTGGATGCCACCCTTGAGCTAAGAACATGGATTCAGCCACAGTGGCAGGAAGCATCTGCCCTGCTGGTGTCTGAGAAAGAAACTCTATCTTTACCAGCTGCAGGGCCGCAGTTCTAGTGTTATTCTAGCGTAGTGATTTTAGCTGTTATTTGGCTTATAACTAGGTGGTCTTGTTAAATAATTGTGGATTTTTAGAGGTATCCATCCAAAATAATCAACATGGGGTCCTGTTAAGCTGTAAAGGACATTACCCAAATGCACCACTGCACAACACAGGAAATAATTCCTCTCCATCGAATGCACAGTACACCCTTTTGGACATGCTTTACAGTGCAAATCACAAAGTTTTACAGTTTAGAGTAAAATGTCAATCATATATATTTAATCTCCTTTAATATTCAGGATATTTATAATTGAGCTATTTGTATCTATTAGAGCAATTTTTTATATTATGTAACTTTGTAATATATTGTATCTTTGGTTAAATTTGGTTCAGTATCTTGGAGTAACTGTAACACATAATTTCACACAAAGTATTCTGATTCTGATAAAAGGGTTTTAGTTTTGTAGGTTATCGTATTATTGAACTGCTTTAGTACTTTCTTTGCTGTCTTTTCAGGTGTTCAGAGCTTCTTCACTTGGCTGTTCTCCACCCCAGAAAGCTGTCAGTCTACTCTGTATCAGGTAAAATTTACATAAACAGGGTTTTCATTATTTATGTTTAGTAAATGGACTGATAGTTATAAGATGCTTTTCTACACCACGGAGCACTCAAAGCACTTACATTACAAACCACATTCATACACAGATTGTTCTCTGCTCTTTAAGTTCCCTATATCTGTCACACTCACACGCTTATGGATGCCTTATGGGTAATTTGATGTCCAGTATCTTGCCCTTCACCATGCAGACTGGAGAACATGAACCACTGATCTTCAAATCCCAAACCACTTGCTAAGCCACAGCCACCCGTTTTGGGATCAGTTTTCACTTTTAAAGGTGTCATTATATCTTCTCTTAATTGAAGTTGGGTTTTTTGTGTGTTTTTTTAACCTTATGCAGGCACTGCAGGGAACGTGGAGCATGGTGACCAGTACCAGCTCAAGTTGGTTTATGAGCATAACCTGCAAAGAACAGCCTGCAACATGACTTACGGCACCTTTGGAGGAGTCACGGGTACACTAAATTCACTTTTTTCATAATATTGTTTTAAACAAGAGAGATGTAAAGCTGTCCTGGAATCACATAAGAATTTTGGTGCATAATAACTTCTCTTAGTAACAGCTTTCTGACAGCAGTGCCATAAGCCATGCACACACATGTAAGTCATTTATACCAAAGAAAACTTTATGTCCACCAGGAATAGTGGCTGGCTATAAAGGGTACTTTTACTGCTTTACAAGTTCTGTGTGTCAGCTTTTGTGTGTGGGTTTTTCTTTTGAGTATTTAATAAAGGAAAGTCAAAAGGCTGAGTATAGGCATTTAGTTGTGTTGATTATCATCAACATCAGTGAGGGACCTCACAAATATATTGAAGTGCAAGCGGTGTGCATTAGTGAACATCTGTGCATGTGTCTTGGCATAAGAGGCAATTGGCAGCGATGGACAAATACATAAAACTATAAAAGTCTATAAGAAGAGTGAAGGAGGAAAAGGGAGAGAAAGAGAGAGGTCATGTAGCTGCGCTCTCTTTAGTCTATTGGGCTTTTGGAAAAACCAAGTAGGGGAAAGCCCTAATGGAGTAAGCATCCAAGAAAAACACACATACACGCACACACACTGAAACACACACACACACACACACTCACAGAAACACAGGGAACCCCCTTTAAAGGAGAGAAAATGACATTTCCAAATAAAGCCTGTATTGTCAAGGTGTGTGTGTGAACAGAGAGCTTGCCAGACTCTGTGGCCTGGCATGATGAATCCGTCATTCACTTCATGTTTAGAGAGCCTGTCTGTCTGTGTGCAAGTGCTCATCTGAGTGTGTATTTGATTGATAGAAAGAACAGTGTGGGCTAATTAAAACCAAAACCAATACCTTGGCCTGTACTGAGTGCACGTGTGTAGGACATACCACAAACCAATAACTCTGACTGTGTCCACGTGTTTTCTGGTTTCCCCACACTGTGCAGGATGTGTTTCAGATGTCAGCTGAGCTCTCATGTAAACTTGTGTTCTTTCACCCATGCTCTCTACTGTCGCCAAGTGCTTCCTTATAGGGCAACTTGTGATCTCTGGGGTTCTTGCAGTCTAAAATGACATGAGGTAGCTGATTGTTGTGAAGTAGTGTGGTGTAAATAAAACTGGGTCTTTGTGCCATGTCCAAGTTTGACATCTGTGTACCTAAATGTTTTAGCGAGCCTTACTTATGACTAAAAATAGACATGCATTCCTGACCATTTGACCTTGAACTTTATAACCACAAGTAAATGTTTCAACCCAATGCTGTTTCCTAACCTAAACCTCTGGTTAACCCCTAAACCAAGTCTTATCCCTTAAACAGCCCTTGACCGGAAACTCGGTAAACACAGAAAACCATACAGGCAGACTAGTATTCACTTTACATCTCTAGTCTTTTCCTATAGTGTACACCAGTAGATGGCAGTACAGGCCCTAGAACTGCTCTTCTATTTCACCTTGATACTGAATGAATGAGGTCCTGTTTTAATTCTTGTACGGGAATTCCCCTTTCCCAGCTTTCCCAAGTAAGGAGTTCTGAGTAGAGATTTAGTGCCTTGTTCAAGAACGGCTTCATCAGAATGGTGTGCATGTTTACACATGCTTTATTTTGCAGATAATGGTAATGCTTATTCTTTCAAAAAAAAAATTATTTTTTTTTACATTTTTAGATCATTTTTAGTGCTTTTAAATGTTTATGAGTGTAAGACTATATATATGTGGCAATAATCCTAAAAAATGATTAGAGAAAAATCCCCCAAAATAAATGACATTTGGGGAAATCTGAATCTATTTTGATGTTGCAACCCTTCATCTAAATTCTCAGTTTGCTGCCTGCCTTTTTTTAACCTTGTTTTTGATTATAATTGTTATGGACGGATTTTTTTGTTTTTTGCATTTTAGATTGGATATAGTAGAAACAGAGGAGAGGGGAAAGGATGATGTGCAACAGAAGTGCTCCCCACTTATTTTGCACTGTTCTGCATTATTTCTGTCTTCTTTGTTTACTGTAGCAGCTGTTTAGTTTTGTAGTCTAAATTATACCAATAACGATCAATGCTTCATTTATAACTAAAGATATTTGTGTTCTGTTTGACTACATACACACAAAAGAGGCTATTTTTATTTCTCTTTTCCTTTTAAAGGGCAGATGAGTTTTTGATCTGTGTGCGTTTTATTGGGAAAAGATGTTCGCTGTTTGCTCTTTCCTCACCATTTCACATAGTTTACAAGAAAATGAGCCGATCTCACAGTTGATTGGATGAAACACAAACATACACATACTCGTAATGATTATCTTGCGCACGCACACACACACACACACACACACACACACACACACTGGACAGTATTTTCTGTGTAGTTTTACTGCATAGACAGTGATAGTCACAGCTCTGAGGCAAGAGCAGACTTCTGAAAATGTATTTCTTCCACAGATGTTGTGTGATAAGACTCTGTGTGTTTAGATCACAGTTAGTATAATAGACAGATTTGGTCACTATGACATCATCCATTTTTGTGGTTGTATTTTGAAACCTTAACATTTGCTTGTGTTGTGGAAGTGTTCTGGAGTATTCTGGAGCCACAACTAACCATATTTTGATGAGAATTAATTTAGTGGCATGTTACCAACTAACAATAGAAAGCTTGGATAGTACACTGCATGCATACACTGTAAGGAATAAACGCCCTACTCAGATATCTTGGTAAATTTGTGCTAAGTAACAGACTACTGCAATATTAAAAATGTATCAAAACAGATACACAGACTTCCTGGTGATTCTGTACCACACAGCAATCCATTTTAATTATGAGATAATTCTCTTAAAATGCCCAACAAGCCACCAACAGCACAAATGCAGTGGAGAGATCCAGCTCATTAAATACATTTAGCAGAGTTGAGGACTAGCAGAAACCAATTGCTTTTGGCTGCCTGCCTGGGGACAGACCTGTCAGTCAAAGTGGCCATGCCCCTTAAATCCAATTTCTAGATGGAGGAGTTATAATAAGGTTCATCCACTTTAAAGCTGTTGTGAAGGAAGTAAACTTATGTAGTGGCCTAAAACATTTTATTACCAGTCTGTATGAATGCTTTTTAAGGCTGTAAAGTTGGTCATTTTAACATTGGAGTTTACAGGTACTCACTCACCTTTGTAGCCAGCCTCAAGTGGCCACTAGAGGTACTGCAGTTTTGGCACATCCATGTGGGTTCATTTGTCACCCGTGGAGGTTGCTGCTTGGTTTGGATATGGAAACTAGTGTGTGTGCGTGTGGGAGTGTTTTTGCAAGTCGTGTCTGCTGTTACACGTGAGTGTGTGTGCGTTTGCATGTGTTGGTCTATAATAGCACCCATTTAGCAGTGCTGTAGGCACTGTAATAGCAGCTCTGTATTAATACTACTCTAATAGCTGGGCTGCCATTTGGTTTGGGTCACTTTCAGGCCACACACTTACAGTCGAAGTATAGACTGGTCTTACACACAAACACACACACACACACACTACATCCACATTCATTATATGTTGAGTGACCTATATTTATATATATATATATATATATATATATACAAAACTCACACACATAGATGCATGCACTCACATGTTGTGGTCCCCAAGCCAGCACATTCACATGTGCTTACAACTTTCCCTCTTTCTCTCACATTTTCTCTCTCATATTTACACAGAGGCGAGGTGCTGCCCACAGCAGTGTGCGGCCAGCCTCTGTGCTTTGTTGGCTGCTCTGTGTGCTTGTTCAACAAGTCTTATTAATGACACTAATACAGGCCTGTTTCCTCCACTGTGTCTGAGCAGTGGCTCTCATACTGGGCTCTTTGACACACTATACCTGGCCGTGGGCGTGTGAAATTACATTTGGACAGTTGCTGTTATGAAACAGCTTGGCTCTCGTTTTCACTCTGTATTTCTTATTATTGATGATACAGAGTCATGTCAGGCTGTGCTGAGTGTCTGTTGTTTTGACCCTTGAGCTGCCTTTGAGGGTTGGAAATGACATCCAGAAACCTGACAAATCGGTGAAGTGTTTGTCTGAGACAAGTCTTTACCTCAGCCTGTTCACACAGTCTTGGTCTGCTTTGAGTAGAACAATGACTTAAGAAACCAAAATGACTTTGATCATTTCAATGCTGTTGTCTGTTTTTCCCTTTTATAATGCGGTAACCTGTTCCCAAATCTGATTTGTTGCTTATAATTGATGGATTTCAATAATGCAGTAGGTTGTGAAATATTTTAGCAGTTTATTTTTTTGTTTTACTCTCTCATGATAATATCCAGCTAGTATCTTGAACATCCGATAGTATCTGTTATATTGTAAAATTTTTCAGAAGAATTTCCTTGAGTGACTGATTGAATTTATATCATAACAAACTTAATTGAAAATTTACATTTTTCAAATAGTCATTATTTATGTCCGTACTACTGTAGGTTAGATTATTATATATAGATATTGTTAGTGATTTTTTTTAGTCTATAAAAATGCACAAAATATTCATCTTTAGGAAAATTTCAAGGAAATAAAATTTATAAAACCAGAAGTCATTTTCAAAGAAATCTTAGTGACCTTTATAAAATTTTAATACTGTATGATATTTTCCCACCAACAGAAGAAGTTGCCTACCACAGCATACCATTTTGGATGGTACAGCATTTGTTGACATTACTATTCATTCTAACGGAAGTTTTCATCTCACAGGCCTAGAGACCAGTTGGTGACCCAGAGGCAAAATGCTTGGTGTGTGGTTGATCGAGGTTGCTAGCTATCACCAGGTGAAATCTGTCTCAAAGAGGGTGTCAAAAACCTCCTTTTGATTCCTTTAGTCACTAGCAAATTGTTTTGTTTGCCCATAATTTGCATTAAAGACACTGAGTTGCCTGCAAACACTTACATTTACTTTCATACTCAAATCGGAAACCGAGAATGTTTCCCTCAAAAGTAAAAGCTTTGCCTTTTGAAATGTGTTGATTCCAGTGAGAAGGCACAACTGTTTCTTCAAATGCAAACTCTCTACATTCCCAGGTTGCATCGTATGTTTCACAATTTCACTACCACCTGGTGAGTAGTCTGCAACTGTTTGCAGACAAGTTCGTACCTTTCTTGGAAACTACTGGCAACCACCACAACCTGCTATCTACCCAAGCTCCTCAGTTGATCACAAAACTGCATGAACCTGCATGAACCAGTTGTGGAGTACACAGTTTTAACTAGTGACTGCATTTATCACCGGGTCACTAATAGATTTCTGGGCCTGTATGAAAGAGAGTTGCGCAATCAGTTGCATACAATAGCCAACAACCTCCAGCAATGACTCACAACTGTTCAGGAATCTGCATTTTTTCCCCAATGGTTTCTGGGTAGTCACCAACAGGTCTCTAGGCCGGTGTGAATGAGGAAAACAATACACAGCAACAGGCAAATGCAAGTAGAGAAAAAAGTGGAAAACAGACAATGAATCCACCCGTTCATGACAGAACACCATTTATTAAATTAAAAATTTTAAACATAAATGACGTATGCTGACATTTAGGACAAATTGCTCTTTATGGCAACCTCAGCCAGCTGAATTTAGGGTTGTTTTAGCTTTAATTTAATAATATTGAACATAATATAAATGAAAACAATCACAGTCTGGGTCTGTTTTAAGAAAATACAGAACACTAGTGTTTAAGAGACACTGTCAACACTATAATTGGCTGGAGCTTGTGCATTTCCACAAATTTTCCACATTAAGGACATTTGGACAGCAGACGTTCATGACTTACAGTTTTGAACTAAACACAATGCACTCGGTCCTCAGAAGACTACATTTGTTTTTCAGATATATATTTTTTTAACTCCACACTCAAGAATACAAACTTGTGGCTGGATGTAATTCACCCATATGAAGACATGCACATTCTGCTTCAACATTTGCTGTTGGCTCTCCATCAAATATTGTGTTTAACACACTTTTATTCACAGGGTGTGTTTGCGATGTATGAGACCTTGTCCTTCAGTGTGTTAATGGCCACCCTGAATTGCCGCTCATCACTCAGGCACACACACACTCTCACACACACATACTTGTTGACACAGAATAGGTGTGTAGGAGTGTGTGGCTTTTCTGTCTAAATCCTTGGTGATAGATGTTAAGTATGTATGTATGTGTGTGTGTGTGTGTGTGCACTGTAGGTGGCTGTCTCCCTGACCTCTAGTTGATGGCAGTGTGAGTTTTAATAGCGCATTGAGGCCTAATTATAGTTCTCTGGTCACACAGCCCCACTGCTTTATGGCAGTGCGTGCTGCTGTGTATTTTGTGTGTCGGGGCTTAGTATGTCCTACACCAGGCCTTTGCTAATAAACACGTAGTCTTGAACACATTTATACTTACAGCCAGGTGTCTGTGTGTATGAGTATGGAGGTGTTAATGGAGATATCAGATTCAGGCAGAGGGAGTAACGCACCTCACAGCACAACACAACATCATCGCTGAAATTAAACAAAAGCCACCAAAGTCCTCCAGGATCTTTGGTGCTTGTGTTATTAAAAAAAGTGTTTTTTGTTGTTTGTTTTTTTTATTGAGGGATGTAGATGAAGCAGCCAAAAAAGCAGCCTGTATTCTTTACATGAATTAGTTTGTTTGCTGTGCAATCTGACCTTGTCTAAAGGCCAAAGTTTTTCGAAAGGTGGAGCTAAAAGTCCCAGAGAGTGACTGGACATGATGAGTTGTACAAATGTAGATAATGGTGTACACTTTGAGATGGTTTCTGTTCAGTGACATTGATGATGTTAGACTAGGTTGTTTGTTCAAATTGTGTCAGAGAAACATGGGGGAAAGCTTAGGATACACTTAAAAGTTGAAGCTCCACCTGTTTTTACGCTACCGACGTTGTTAATTGCTACATGAAATTAACCTCTCTCTGAAAGCCAAACTGGAAAATACCTAGCAAAACATACCTGAGTTCACAGTATAACATTGTATTTAATTACATTGTTTTTTGTGTGTTTTTGTTTGCTATTATCAGTTCAAAACATTTTAGCTTGTGAATAAATCTACTTTGCTGCCCCCCACTCTCTCCATCAGGTCATCATTCCCTCTGTATCCAGTCTATGGACGGGATGCTGATGTTCTTCGAGCAGGACAGCTACTCTTTTGGCAGGTTCCTCCCTGGTTTTCTGCTGCCTGGTCCCCTGACTTACAACCCCAGAACAGACAGCTTCCTCACTGTATCCTCTGCACGAGAGCTGGAGAGCTACAAGTAGGCTTTTTTATAATTCATTTATTTAATAACTTTTTTCATCTTGTGTTACTTGCCTGAAGACTGCAGTGTTGTAATCCCACAAATATTTGCAAGCAAGATAGCTGGGATAAAGTTACAGTATAATACTTTCACAGCTTTCAGTGAAGTCCATCACATAATAATTTCTACAACATACATCTCCAGATGCCCTCAAATGGCATCAATAGTCTTGTCTTTCATTTCTGATTGTTGGTGGCATCAGAGGAGTCCATAGTCTATGGGAGAATCCCAGCTGAGGGATTTTTGCAATACAGCTTCGAGTCCATTTTCTTCATTGCATAGACTTTGTATGTATGCACTATGAGAGGAGTAATGTTGTATGCTGGAATGTATGTAACTGATTTCTAACAGCAAGATCCTTGATATAGGCCTATATATTAGTTGCTAGAAAATACTGAAGTTTTATTCTAAGATGGAAAAAAACCCCAAGTTGCTATTAAAAAGGAATTCACATCTGTTTACAAGTAATATTTAGGCTCGAACAGTATAAACTTTCTTAAGGTTATCTGATTCACAGTCTTCAGTATCAGCTGCTGATGGTTAACGAGCAGTGCTGACTAAATCCCCACCATCCGAACACCATCTGCTCCCAGTGCAGATCTTGTCTGGATGGACCGAAACACACACACAGACGCACTTGCGCGCACATGGTTTGATCGGAAAGTACCTCATTTTAATGTAAGCACATGTACACTTCACTCTGACTGCATATCGTTAAGAAGTCTTACAGACTGCGTGGGTGTACGCTGTGCATGCGTGCAGTCTTCTCTTCCAGCTGTTTGTTATCTGGGTGCCCCCCACCAGTATCAAGACACTCTCCAGACTAGATATCACAGTGGAAACCCTGACGTCACCGTTCTCACTGGACACACACACAAACACAGCCCTGCAGTGTACAGCCTGCAGTAAATCAGACAGAGCTCAGCAGACGTATACAAGCTTTCCATAAATGACAGCACAGCATTACGAATGCAGCAAACTTATTTCCTTTACACTGTGCATTAAACACCTCTAACCAACGTAATGTCTCTGCTATAAATAGAACTTCACATTTAGTGGAGACTTTAGAGTTTAGCCAGAACAAGACTTTGATGTGTCATAATAAATGTAAACACTAAATAGCATGCAGTCAGAGCTGTTCAGTCAGTACAGATGAGCATCATTAGCTAAAGATATGAAGTGCTACATAAATGATCAGTTGATTAGGATACCTACTAAAAAATAAAAGTTAAAAAAATTGCTAGAAGTAAAAGTGTTTTGCTCCTTGGGATACAAGTCACCAACACATACAATTTATGATTTATACTTTGCTCTTCCTGTCCCCATATTCAAGCTTGCTGCACATCCAGGAAGCCCAAGTTATCACCGTGTTTGTGTGACTAAACATTTTCATAACAAGGATCACTCTGCTTGAAGATTAATTAAATTGATATAGCATCAAAAAAAAAATTGTGCATTAAATTTTAGAAGTGATGGCTTTAATAGAAATAATGCTTTATTTGTATGGGACTTTAGGAACTGTTAGAAGGTGCCTCACAGTTTGGATAAACATTTGAACACATACATTTGCCACATAAAGTACATAAAAACACACATCCAAGCATCCGCTCTTACATAAGCATCTCTTTCCATGTGGACTTTGGATTTGGTGATGAGCATAGAGCAGTTCCTGTTGCAGATGCACGATAAATGGTTTTCATATCACACAATAGCAGCAGGAAATGTATTAGCACTAAAACAGTGGATGCATTAATGATGCGGTTCAGGGAGAGCATTAACAAATCACTTTTCGACTAAAATACTTTGTGATCAAGATCACTGGTATTGACGTAAGACCCTACCAATTAGCAAAATCGAATAAATAAATGGATAAAAAATGTTTATCTGCTTATTTATGCAGTCATTATGTATGGGTTAAATGTTTTTTCTTAATCCCAATTTTGATTTAGATACTTTAGAAATGTTCTAATCTTTGCATGTGGTCAGAGTGATGGAAATATATGTGTTGTGTATGTAGTATATAATATAATATATATATATATATATTATATATATATATATATATATTATATATATTATATATATATATATATACGCACACGCACACGCACACACACACACACACACCATATCAGATGACGGGGTCAAAGCCTTGCTGACTGTTATACATTTAATATCATATGACTGGTCAAACAGTTCTGCTTGGCTCAGTTTATTTAGCTTGCTGGACCTTCTCCTGCCCTGATGAATGAGAGCTTGATTTGGTTACAGTGTATGTGTGTGTGTTGGCGTCAGCTTTCAGCTTTTAGTTTGTGTTTATCCGTTACCTCAGAAAGCGTACATGCTTAGTGTGTATTTGTGTAGTTTGCGTGAATGTATATGCTTATTTGATCTGTATGTTGAAGGTAAGTGTGTGTGTGTGTGCTCCTTTCTGAGAGATCCTCTTTCATATAAATGGGATGTTTGTTTCCTCAACCTCAGTGTCCTAAACTTGCACGATGACTGATACTGCCTAAACACACACTCCTGTACACACAAAGTCCAACCCGCACACCATGTTCATTGGAAACAGTATTTTAATGACAAATAGAAAAAAAGTATGTGTATATCACTGTCAGTGATATTTGTCTTCCTCCTTACATGCTGCTCATGCAGGTGAATAACCAGATTTCTTTGGTTCTTTCTCAAACACAAGGCTTTCTGTGATTATGTTTTTTCTTCTTTTTTGGCCCTCTTTCATATTATACACACACACACCCACACACACACGTGCGCATGCATGTCCAGTTTTAATTCAGTCATTTGACCTCTTATCCCATGATTAGTAAAACATCTAAGTGAAGGGTGGAATAATTATGAAATATCAAAGCAGAGTGAAAGAATATACTTATTTTATAGTGTTGTTTTAGTATTATTAGGCTGAATTTAATCCCTTCACTCATGCAGGAGCTGGTCTGTCGATCCATTGAGTGTTGCCTTAAAAGCTTAAAACCCCTGACATGTTTAATATATTTTTTAGTCCATTTTCTTTCCCAGGAAATGGTCATGGCGTGATGAAAAGGTTTCTTTACTGGCAGTCATCCATAAAGCTCATTAGTCTGCTCGCCGTTTCTCAGAGAGGGCTAAGCGGGTAGCGCTACTGTACGGATGAGTTCAAAACTATAAATCTTGCATTGTATTGCAAAAATCAAAGGTTAGAACACTTCATTTACTATTTTATACAAAATGTTACGAGGAATTAGCATCACTCTTCGAGTCACATGTGGTAATCAGGTTTATCCAGGTATAAAACGAAAATGTTGTTAGAGGAGTGGAAAGGGGAGAGATGTGAGTGTTCTCTGCAGTGAGTAATACATGAAATAAGTAAAATTCAACCAAAAGAAGGCAGTCACAGTCTTTTTATGAAAGCCATACTGAGCTGCATGTGAAGTTACAGAGCTTGAAATTTGATTTATTTTTTATTTACATTTTTGTCTGGGTTAGAAATTACAAATAGAAATTCGTAATTCAAGTGACCAAAAGGCCTACAGTGTATACTAAAGCTTTGCCGCAGTTTCATACTAGGTTACATACTAACCCTAAGCGCATTTTTGAGAATGACACTGAAAAGCATAACAAAACTAAGTATGCCCTGAAGTCAAAACTCTGTGAGAATGTAACTTCAGCACACTTACATTATATGCTAGTGTTTAGCTGGAGATGTTTTCCCTGACCGCTGCTTAAATGCTAACGTGATAAGGTCAGTTAATTAGATACACAAAGTACAAATGAGACTATAGTCGATGCAATTTGTAAATTAAAGTAAGTAAATAAAATTTTATTTATGTATCCCAAAATCAGATTCAAAGAGCTTCATGGGCATAAAAACATATTAATAAAAAAGCAGTTATTTAAATTATTAGCATTACAATTTTAACCTGTTAGCAGCTCCACGTGTGGGTAGTATATATAATGAATATGGTGTACTGAAAGTGCTGTTGCTTTGCACAAATATTTGAGGACTCAATAAAAAAAGAGGCTAAGATAAAGTATTACTAGTACCCTTAAAGTAGCAGCCATGTTGGATTGTGCTCCTTCCAATAAAGGTCAATTTCAGGGTTGCTTGCTTTGATTAACAACAGCTTTGTGTCGAAACATGCAAAACAGAGTGAGAAGGTTGGTGGATAAATGAGCAGTTATTTAGTGTTTGGTCTGGGGTGTGCAATTGGGGTCAGTCAGGTTTGGAGCTCTGTTCATCCAGGTGTTTGGGAAGATGGATAGATTCCCGCTAAGCTGCTATGACTGCCAGCTTCTTACTGGAAAAAGCCTAACATGTAGATGCCAAAATCAACTGACCACCGATCAGTCTGACCACTTTATCCTTAGCCAGTGGCCTGCGGCTCACTGATTAAAACTGATAGATCACGGTTCGAGGGAACGGTAGGTCTGTGATGTGTTGACTAACCACAGAGAACCTGTAAAAGAGAAGGTGACTATAAAATGCTTGCAGGGGTTTGTTTATTCTGAACACGAATTGTGTGCTGTTGTTGTGGTTTTGCTCTAATGGTTGAGAAACTGTGTAGTTTGGCTTTTTAGAAAAGCTGGGGAATATCTAGTACTTTTTGGACAATGGAAAGTGTCCTAGACCAACTCTGTCAGTTTTTTCACAATTTAAAATTCTCCCACTGTGTGTTTATAAAAAAAAAAAAGAAAAAGAAAAAAAAAAGTTATTTGTTTTCTGTCTGAGACGACGTACACAGAAAAAGTAGCTGTCTGTGTCTTTTTTACTGTCAGGTATGAGACTCTCGCTGTGGCTACAGAAGCAGAAAGTCGACAAGATCCCAACTTACCCCTTAAGACTGGAGGCAAGAGGCTGACGGTGAGCACTAACACACACATATTTTATTTTTTCTTTGACATGATTGTTTGTTTATCTGTGTTGTGATTAGTGTTTAAAGACTGTAGGTTGAGTGATATCTGAATCTCGATAGTTCTTTGGGATCCCCTCATTTTCAGTCAAATGTGAATAATAGAATCCAAATGTCAGAGCACTTATGAATGTACTGTTCATGCTATTTGAATTTTTCTCTACCAGCACCAAAAGTCGCCACTATTGCCTTGAATTCGAACATAAAAATCTTTATTTGCAGAGCTTAAAGTTTCGCTGATACCCATTTCTATGGTAAATGGAAATTAAGTATCTAATAAAAAGACACTGCACAACATTTTATCAAGCGTGTTCAGACAACGCACATGTCAGGCTGACATTCACGCATACAATTTTTTAAAAAAAAATTTTTGTGCAATAAATGACATTGTTCTGTGTCTTTGTGTGTTCCCATAGCCTGACTGGGTATTTGTGCTGGGAGAGCAGGCCCTGGATCTCTGTGTGCCCTCTTTCTCCCATGCTTCTTCCCACATCTTCATCCTGGGTGAGAGGAACATCTACTGTCTCCGTGACAATGGGCAGATCCATTTCATGAAGAAGCTGGAGTTCAACCCCAGCTGCTTCCTGCCATATGCCTCGGGTAACCCAGGACACCAGACAAAAAGTTGACACACTATAAAAGGATATTTCTCCTTCGCAGTCTTTATTGTAGTCTTTTCTTATTCGTACTAGGAATAACAATATTCCTTGTAGGTTTTTGGCAGGATTTCTGCTGCAGCACTTATTTAGGCTGAATGTGTAATAATAATGATTTAACAAACATGTTAGACACAGAGAATTGAGAATAGGATGGAAAGTGATGGCTGCTGAGTTTCTAAAAAGCAAAGCAAACACCAGTCATGTTTCTCCGGACAAATCATAATGCAGAAACAAAACAATTTGTTTCCAGAAGAAGGTCCAAATTGTATATTTTTCTTCAAAGGTAGTGATTAGTTTTAGTTTTATAGAAAAACATGGACCTGTTGTCAGCATCACTTGTAACAAAGAGCAAAAGTTCACACGGCAAGCTAAGGGATAAGGCTTTTCTTTCCCCTTAGTTTTCATATTTTGCCAAAGCAGCAGAGGCAAAGTTCAGATGTGTTCAGCCTGGAGTGAGGTGAAACACAGAATCACAACATTCAGTATGCTTCAGTGCACCTGCCATAAGCAAACTTCCAAAAGACTAACTGGATAAAATACTAAAAAACAAAGCAACTGGAATGGCATACTGCCATGTGAATGGCTCTACAGGAAGCTGCTTTTGGCAGAATGTGATGGAATAAACCGAATAGCTCTGCTACATAAATAAAACTGACTGCTGAACAATAGAGTTTATAGACATGTGCCAAAAGAAGAATGAATAGCACATATAATACAGAATCATACAGGTAATAAACTGTATTTTTGTCCAAAAATACTTTTTATGTCTAGTGTATTTTTCTTTCTTTCTTTCTTTCTTTCTTTCTTTCTTTCTTTCTTTCTTTCTTTCTTTCTTTCATGGAAACTGAAGAGATAACTGCTCCTTTGTGAGTTAGGCTAAACCTCCATTTACCTTCAATTGTACTCTTAATGAACGGCTGAATAAGATATCTGGCTCTTTAGCATTTAAATAGTCACTAAGTATGATGGCAAATCTGTGTCTTACTTAATCTCTGGCTGCTGTCTGTTGCTAAATAACCAGCACCCATGTTTTTTTTTCTTGTTTTTTTTTTTTTTTTAATTTAAAAAAGTTGAAAACTGCTCTCTGCTGTGTTGTGCAAGTACATTAAAGTGCTGGTTTTGAATCTAAACAATGAAACTTCAATGAAGCCAAGGAAAGCTTCAGTCAACAACTGAATAGTCTTCAGTTCAAGTGATTAGATTTTTTTCTCCACATTGCTCATCAGTCAGAACCATTTTCGAATAGATTTAGCTAAATGCAGTATCTCAGTGATTAAGATGTGCATGCACTGAATCGCTTGGCATAACTGTTCCCATGTCCAACCTACAGCAACGATAAAACATAGCAGTAAATAACAAGCTTCAATAGTACCTTTTGTTGTCAGCAAGAAGTAATTTAAAGATATTTAGGTACGGGAGGATCCGTGATCACAGGATTCATTTTGTCATAATGAGTATGCAGCATATTGAAATCATAGGCGTTACTGTAGGTACACCCACGGGTACGTGTGTGTGTGTGTGTTTGTTAAACAGTAATGGGTTCCAGCTTTGAACACCTCTCCCTGACTTCACCTCTGATGGGGAGAAAAGAGAAAGAGGTGTACAGTGTGGTGATTATTAGCTGCATTTGAAAGGCCGTCACATCTGAGGCAAGAGGCTACTGCTTATCATGCACACAATGGACAGGATATGCTGTGGGTGGATGATAATTAGTTCTGTGTGTTAGCCTGGCTACAGATGTTGAATTGGTCTTAGAGAAGGAGGCGATGGAGGCCGACTCTGCTGTCATTTTTACTGAAAGCTTGCACCTGACTAAATGAATCGATTTTCTCCCCACACACACGTACTCACAAAGTTCCATTATTCAATAATTAGCAATTAGCGGCACAATTGTATCAAATTGCAGCCTGATTGTGGTCATTTAGAATGAGTAATATGAGAACATACACAAAAAGAGGTGTGCATAAACACATTCTCACACACAGATGGTGAATTTATGAGTTTTAGTTCCATGCACAGTGGCCTATGATCTGCATGGTCACGCATCCATTATTTGGGCTGATGTTGTGGTTGCCTAAGAAACCAGTATGACTCAGAAACCCTTTGATTCAAGTGCATAAAATCGATCTGTATCCAGAAACCATTTTCATAGCTTTGTTTCTGTTTTAAACCATAAGTTTCCGATAAAACTTGTTAATTGGATAAGAGTGCTTCCAAAAGCACTTCAATAAAGTATTGCTCTCCTTGTTTCTGTCCCATTAAGTTGCACTGGCAGCTGGGGACAGCTGTGATTTTTATATTAAAATTGTTAAGAAGAAAAAGGGTATGCCTTACCTGCGTGGTTATCGATTGCTACTTAACTGTCACTTTCAACCCTAAGCAACACAAATTATATTAATGTAGTTAGCAGTACAGTTATGTGTATAACCTCCTGAAAATGCAGCCAAAACAACGTCAAAAGTGCTTCTGCCCACTTTGATTTATGCAACAATGTACTATAGATCCATTTTTTGAGGGTGTTACGTTTGATATAAAATACTCTGATTCTATGGAAGAAGGATCCAGAATGGAGGCTTTGTTGACTGACTGCAAAAAGTGGCCATGATATCTGTTTTCAATTTTACAATTAAAATATCTCAGCTTTCAAAGTTCCCTCCAATGTCTACTCTGAATATTATTTAGATTATTTAAATTAGTCTTGGAAATTGTCTATAAACTCAATCCCCAATGTGTCATTTCAACAAAAGCAACTTTTATTGGGACATGATTGCTGTCAACAGTCAAAACCACATAAAAATTCCCACATGACTGAGGGATGATGACAATTCCCAGCAGCAAGACTGCTGTTGCAGACTTCACTCTCAAAAACAAACAAAGTCCACTCTAGAGTTTATTTTTAACAGTGTGATATTTAGTGACAGTCTAACTGCTGGAGCTGCCAGCCAACAAACAGCAAGGGCTTCTTTTATTATGCAGGGCCATTCAGTGGATTTCTATAGTGTCTTCATAGTCTAGAGATTGGAGTAGATGAGGATAGGCAACAGTGCTCTCCTTAGCATTTCCTATTGCTTTTTTTCTGGCGCTCATCTTCACAGCTGCCTGCTCGACCAGTTCCCTCGCCCTCCCAGTCTACCTCTTTTATGCTGTTTGTATCTTATTTTGTCATTTAACTTTATTGGCTTCATTGCTTATCTGAAGCCTTACAATCAAAGACCAGCTCCTGCATGATTTTTAATGATTCCTACTTCTAGGAACATGATATTCTAGGATCATGATAACATGATAACATGGGTGACAGATTCATTCAGATAGGATCATGATGTGGCACCTATTATGCGGAGGCCAGAATGGATGTGGGGAGAGATGTCAGGATAAGGAACAGGAGAAAGAAAAGAATGGGATGTGGAGATATCAGTGGGCCAGGAGGGTAAAAAAAAGCCTAGAAAGGAAGGAGAACGAAGAACACCGGTTGGAAATTTTTATAATATGGTTGTAATTATAAGGCTGATGTGGAGACGTAAGGTGTGTATTTTGCTTTAATGTGGCACCAACACACTCTGTCATTTCGACCCCTGCACTGTGCCACCCTGCTGACCGCTGTTACTATATTATAACTTACGTATTCCACTGTGTGAATATGTGTACCAGTGTGTGTGTGTGTGTGTGTGTGTGAGTGTAAGTGAGGTGTGTTTGTTTTGCGTGTGGCCGTCACCTCAGATCTCTCCTGGTGGTAACTGCGCCATTGGTGGGATTGGCTGGATGTGTGTGTGTGTGTGTGTGTGTGAGTGAAACATAAGTAGTAAAATGTAAGTAGTATTTATACTGAAGGTTTCAAGCCATGTGTCATGAAAGAAAGTGTATGTGGAACTTCAGTTGTTTAAACACCTATAAAAGGTTACCTTGTCTCAAAATGAAAAATCGAGATGACAAAATTTCTATATACAAACCAGACGTGAAAAGTGATTTTCTTTACTGTGGGAACTTCTTACAGGGCAATGCCACCCACCAGAGGAATTTATTACTATGCTGCATGGTAAAATTTGTGAATTGAAATTTGAGAATCTGACACAAAACTAGCGAATTAGTTTAGCTTTTCTCTAGCCTCTTTTTTTTAGGTGATGGAGTCTGAACTTCTGAAAGCCAGTTTTATTTTTAAAACGAAAATGCTGTGATATTTAAGGTCTGTTGTTTCTAATCTTCTTTTTGTGGTCGTGTTTAGTGACAGATGGCACTACAAACCTGTTGCTAGGTAATCACACCAACATGCTGCTGGTTTACCAGGATGTGACCTTGAAGTGGGCATCCCAGCTCTCCTTTATCCCCGTGGCTGTGCGTGTTGCCAACTTTTTGTGAGTATAACCTCCAGCAAATGAAGGAATCTGATGTTAGAATTTTCCTAGTTTAAAGATGACCATTCGAGGAATATAAAGATGAAGGATAGCTTAGGACAGCTCAGTGCATGTAGTGTACACAGCAGTGATTATACATGTAAACAAACACACCTATAGCAAATATAATGTTGTGTTTATCAGCTTGTGAAATCCAGTGTGTAAACTACTCGACAATGTCTTCCAGCTGGCCAATCAGAGCGTAGTGGGGAGGGGCCAGCTATAGGCAATCCTTTGTCTTTTTCCAAACAACTCCAATCAAAGCACAATTTGATACAATTACAATGCAAAACACAAACACGGTTGAAAAATGATGTGGTTTTTGGTTGTGTGTGTGCCTGTGTGTTTTAGATGCGGGAGATAGTGTGTGTCTGGGTAGCTGTTTGGTTTAGTTTGAGGCTGTGTTGTTTTAAAGCATTTGATAATCATCGGGTGATTTAGTGTGTTGGTGGGACACCGTGCAGAGTGTGGGATAGGAACACACAAAACAAAACCAATACACACAAAAACAAAATACGATCACTTCAGCAGCTCATTCTGGCTAGCTCTATTGGATAGCAGTGCTCCAGGAGTTCTTGTGTTTTGGAGGCAGTATTGCATTTTATTGCCAACCCCAGATTAAATATTCTCACCATTTTGGGATCCTTCAAGTTTAACATGGACCAAATCTGAATCAGAAGTGTGAAGACTCAGAACTTGATATATATTTATGTTAAAACTGATCTGAGAGGACCGTTATTAAATAGAATGTTAAATTAATTCATAGAAATCGAATCCAGGCACCATCAGCAGTGTAACAGTTGTAACTTTGACATAAGCTACAACTGTTAAGATATCTCATGCATACTTGTTGCCACTTGTAATGATCATTTATGCAAATAGCCTCAAGAAGCATTTGTAGCACTCAAGAACTTTAAAAAAAAGGGGGGAAATGAACCAGACAAAAGTTTACCTTCAGTTGCTCCGATGGCAGCTGAACCTATTGCTCACTTTGATAAACATACTATGTGTTATTGTTGGTAGATAGTGCTCCATTAACCTCCGAGCACTGCTGGGCCCAACAACCTTTCTGGTGGAAATCCAGCTTCGTATTCTGCGCCCCTCAGGATGCAGTTTTCCACTTTGCTTGAGTCCATTTTAAATGAGCTTTGGCTCCAAGAGAAGTCTGCATCGTTTCTGGAACATGTTCACACATGGCTTCTTCGGTCCATGATGATGCTTTAACCTGCATTTGTGGATGACATGATGAACAGGGTTCATACACTGTGTTCCTGAGCTCATACCACGTCCATGCCTGTTTGTAATGCAGTGTGACCTGACGGTCTGAAGATCATGTGCATCCAATATTGACTCGATTTTTGATTATAGTAGGGTCTTTGCCTCACAGTACAAAGCACCTTGAGGTGTTGTTATGATTTGACTCGAATAGAAAAGATAGGGAAAACATAATTTCCTTAGGGATTATTAAAGTATTCTGATTCAGATAAAAGTTGAACTGAGTTTAATTTATTTTCGGCCTTTTTCTTTCTTCTCTGAATCTTTTAATGATGCCATGTGCTGTAGATGATGAAAAGTTTTTCTAATTTTATTTTGAAGAACAATATTCTGAAATACTTCAACAATTTCAGACTGGTGAACTTCCGCCTCTTTAAGATGCTCTTTTTATACACTCATGTTACTGACTGGTTGCCAGTTAAGCTAATTAGTTTCAAAATGTTCTCCTTGGTACTACTAACTTTTCCAGCCCTTTTTCGCCTCTGGCCCGCTTTGCTATGACATGTTGCTACCATCACATTACATCTTAAAACCATACACTTCTCATTATAAAAAATGTTTTTATATATTCTGTTGCGAATAAAATATGGGTTTATGAGATTTGCACTTCATTGCATTCTGTTTTTATTTACATTTTATAGACCTTTTTTGGAACTAGTGTTTTACACTACTACAATATTTTGAGAAATATTTTCAAACCTGGCAGCACAGTGGCACGGTGGTTAGCACTGTTGCCGCACAGCAAGAAGGTCCTGAGTTCAATTCCACCATCTTTCTGTGTGGAGTTTGCATGTTCTCCCCGTGTTTGCGTGGGTTCCCTCCGGGTACTCCGGCTTCCTCCCACCGTCCAAAGACATGCAGCTTGTGGGGATAGGTTAATTGAAAAATTGCCCATAGGTGTGAATGCAGGAGTGAATGTGAGTGCGAATGGTTGTCTGTCCCTGTGTGTTGGCCCTGCGACAGACTGGCGACCTGTCCAGGATGTACCCCGCCTCTCGCCCTGTGACAGCTGGGATAGGCTCCAGCGCCCCCCGCGACCCTGAAAAGGATAAGCGAATGGATGGATGGATGGATTTTCAAACCTTGATTTGTGCAAGGTAATAAGACACTGGAACGAAAAGTGTACACAGTGCCACATTTTTTATTACTTTTTTTTAAAGATTGAAATAAATTCTGGCAACATAGTTTTGTATTGTCACATATCTTGTATGTATGTATTACCTAACACTGCTGGTAGATTATGTGAGTTCCTTTAGTTGATGCGTACGCAACAATCTTTCTCTCAGTTGAACTTTGAGCTATTATTCAGCATGGTCTGTGTGTGTGTGTGTCTGTGGGCTTTAAATAAATGTGAGAACCATCACTTTTATGAATGCGTTTCTGTAGCAGTTGGTCATGGCTCTATGAATATAAATTTTTCTGTGTACGTGTGTGCCCGTGCGTGTGCGTGACAGTGTTTCCGCAGCAGTAAAGTGAAAGTTTTATGCCCCCTCAGACGCCCTCCTGTGCAGGTGTGGAGCCGGCTGCTGCTCTTGACCTGAACCCCCTCATGTGTGGGTCTGAGTGTATGTGTTATCGTCTCACTGGACTGGAACAGAAAACACACACATACACACACAACACATCTGCAACCAGTTAGCACACACACAGTTAAAACACATTATTGCATCACTCAGCATTTCTTCATGCTCTCCCTCGTTTATTCTGGTTTCATATTATAAATTAGTTCTGAACTTTATATTCAGCTTTTTCTAAAAGGATTAAATAAGCATTTAGCTTACTTGTTTTAAAGGAGCAAACAACTAATTTTGAACTACAGTAGACCTTTTTGGCAGATGTTCTTGACTAATGACCAATAGCACACTAGGAAAAAGTTAACTTTCCTCTTCTCTGCTCTTCTCAGGGATGTGAAGGGAGTCGTGGTCAGTCTGAGTTCAGATGGTCATCTTCTGTGCTCTTACATGGGTACAGATCCCTCTTTCTTTTCAACTCCGAAGGTGGATGCCAGGGAGGCTGACTACGAGCAGGTGGAAGCTGAGATGAAGAAACTGCAGAAATTCATCCGAGAAGCCACCAGGACTCAGGGTAGGAGACTGCTGGAAGCATAATACAGATTTTCTAATTATCATAAAACCAAAATATGCCCTTAAGAGGCAACTTTTGATCATTCTTGTCTGATCCTAGGTTTATCTAATCATATTGTCATTCTTAAATGACTAGTTCTTTGAATCAATTGACTGTCTACATTCACTTTAAAGTTGGTAAAATTCTCCATTGGAGTATCTGAGCAGCAAGTATCTGATATTTTTACTCCTTAAGGTGACCTTTTATGTCCATTTTTAGCTCCATATTTGAAATCCTGGACTCTGCTAGAGTGGCTTTGCTTGATTTACAGTTCAAAATGATTCACAGTTCCTTTTTTTTTTTTTATCTTAGACTAAGATCTGGTCCAGTCGCTAAGAATAATTTTTTTTTTTACTGAAAAAAATCCACCTTAGTTTCACTTGATATTTGTCACCTGGTTGTCAACACCCCACCTGCAGTGCATCCATACCTCACCAGTTGGGTTTGCCCCACAGTTCGACAACCACTGGTTTAAGCTAACTGCCTTCTGAATGGGAAACAGAAGCCTTGGAAAGAGGTGGGAGGGGCTGCTGTGCTCATAGCCAGGTCTGTGTAAGAGAGTGAGAGAGTATGAGATGACCATAATTAAGAAATTACTTTTTTTTGACATCTAACAGGTCCAGGAGGTTTAGAGCAGTCTGAGGCTTCTGGCTCTTGTACATACACTGACCTCATTATTTGAGACTGGCCATGTTTAATATGAGCATCAATGACTGTAACAGTGTGTGTGTGTGTGTGTGTGTGTGTGTGTGTATATAAAATAAATTGCCACACAAGGTTTAATTTAAACTGCCTTTAACAACAAGTCAATGTGAATTTTATCTTTTGTCCTCTCTGTATGCTGGTTGATTTGTTTGCAAACTGACCAAGTATCATGCCTTCTTTCAAAATGTGGTGAAATGCTATATTGACTAATAAACACATCGGTTCAGTGTTTTGAGATTAAAGTGTTGGTATTTCAGACATTTTGCCCAAAACCGATAGTGAGGATGACCTGTGCATTACTACCACTGTTTCCTCCAGCATGGACAACCCATCGGTAAACAAACACAAAACACACATAAAAAAACAAATTCACATTCGCACATTTAGATGCATATGCAATAATAAACATAGAAAGTCATATTTCCCTTTTATATCTGTCCATAGCAAGCCCTGATCCACGATATCAATGGTCTGCCTGTCCCCTCAGTGACTGTACAGGTGAACCTTTAAAATCATTGTTTCTCCTCTCAGTTTGTGTGCCAGAATTCTATCTGCCCTTTACCAGTATCCTGTCTACAGCTAACATCATCATTTTTCTCTTTTCAGGTGAAGGTGAAAGCCAGTAGTGTGGTGAAGTCATCTAAGCTGAGCATTGGTGTCCAGCCTCCTCTGGCAGTTACTCAGGAGCAGTTTGTCCTTGAGGCCATGGGTCAGTTAATTGTAGCTGTAGTCTTTATATGCGAGTTATGATTGGGCGTCTGTCTATGTGTATGCCTGTAAAACCTTTTCTTCTTCTTTTTCCTATTGTTGGTTCCAATTATCTGACATTCTGATCTGTTTCTGGGATTTCTGCCTTTGTCCATGTTTTTCCACTGGAGACAGTGGCATTGACAAATAGACAGGTTTAGCTAAAGGTGGTAGATTTGAAAATCCAAAGGTTTTCATTGGGAATGACCAAAATGGACAGATTAAGAATGATCATGTCAGAAGGGCAGTTCAGGTTGGGCGCTTGAAAATGCTTGAAAATTGTGTGAAAGTAACTTTTTCTAATTTGTGTGAACTAGTTCCTTTAAATCATGATTGTCCTGATGGAAAACTTATGAAACAGAATGCCAGCACTAAAGAAAAACCATATTACAGAAAGGAATACATGTTTAATAGCAAATCTGACCTTTAGCAGTAATTAGTACCTTTTTCTTCTTGAGGAGACGTGCAGTGTTGGCGAAATGCACAAAATTAAAGAAGTGCCAAGGAAAGAATGTAAGGGTGTATCGTAGGGGAATACAATGACTGCATTTTTATGGAAAATCTAAGCAGCTGGTTTGGTGTATGATCTTTCATCATCCAGTGTCATCAATCACTTTTTGTTCTTTTGCAGCCTCAGTCCATCTCTGAATCATTTGAGGGCACACCCACACACACACACACACACACACACACACACACACACACACACACACACACACACACACACACACACACACAAATTTTATCCAATCCTCCTCCTTTTACAGATGAATGTGTTGGCCTCGACTGGGTGAGAGGTGTGTGTTTATTTTCTCAGCTCTTATCAGTCAGTTTTAGTCTTATGTGTTCTCTAGTCTAGCTGCTGGCCACTGAGCCCAGACAGCGGTAACTTTGAAATGAATTACCCAGACACTGCACACACATAGCCTACTAACCCCAAACAGTGATATCTTCTGTCGGCTCATTAAAAGAACATTATTCATCCTGTAATACAATGTTCATCCATCCATCCACTTTGAGCTGTCTGTATTGTCCTCTGTTTTGTTATGTTAGATTTTTTTAACATGTACTCTCTGTGTGCATAATGTAAAGCAGTTGGAGGGAGTTTTTTTTTATCAGAACGTCCTTATAGTGCGATGAGAACATACTTTTTAAAAATGTGTGGGCCTATTGGGAGTTAAACCTCTAACCCTGTTGGTGTCGGTGCTTTGCGCTGCCTGTTAGTCTACATATGGAGTGGGACTCTTAATCTTAGCAGTGTTCAGTCACGCCTACAGATTGCTAGTAGTTTGAACCAGTGGTTTCTTCTGCTGCATTTATGTATCTGTTTAATTTTCCTTTAAGCGGCTTAATTATAAGCTTCCCAAGACAATAAAAACAATACAAGTGAGTAATAAGTTTCTTACTATTAGTAGGAGTCGGATCAGTAGGAGTTTGTGCAAATGTTTTTTTTCTCAGGCTAGATGTTTCTTTATAAACCAACAACCACAAGAAAGGCCAGTCTTTCATCCTCGCTGTTCTTGTCACTCTCTTCTGTGGTATCGAGATCATATTTCTAAGTAGCTGCATATGAGCATCTGTCCAGATTCTTGCTATTGTGGTTACACAAAGCTTTCCAAGCATTTAGATGTTATTTGTCTTCATGCCACCCAGAGTCTTTTTGTGTTATGGCTCTTTTAGACTGTCCACCAGAGTTTTAAAAATTTGTCACTTTTCAAAAACACAGAACATCAGAATATGTCTTCACGCTAAGACAGCTTAGGAAAAATCTTTTAAAATCTGCTATCAGACTCAAAATTGGACTCCATTCCACATGCAAAAGTGCTGTCCATATTTTGCATTTAGCAATCTGCAACTGAGTGAAGAATAAAGTCAGGAGTGACATTATTATAGCATGGACCCAGTAATTTTCTGCTGTAAATGGTGCTAAAATGAGCATTGTTGTCAATGGAATCAAAGTCTAAGTCATTTAAATAATGAGAAGCATCTTTCTTGTTTGTTTGTTTTTAAAAAAAGCACAGAAAAAAAGCCACGATTCATTGATATGACGCAGATGGCATGCAGTATCAACACGGATGGTGTGTCTCTGAAGAATTCTTGTGTGTGAAAACAAACTTTTAGGAACGAATCCTGTAACTGACTCGTGTGCCAAATTTAACAACACCCAAAATGCAGCCTTCAATAAGCTGCTCCAAACAAAAAAAGCAGCTTTATCATGGCACTTTTATCTCATTCCAGAAAGGTAACTGAGGTTATTGCCTCACTTTGTAGCTTGGTTAGTTGGCATTTTGCAGTTTAAAGTTTTGTACAAACAAAACACTGTCAAGTTGTCTTGTGATTTACAGAACTGTCCCTGTGAGGGTGTAAATCTCACTAGAGATGTGGTCATATGTCAAATGACGCACAACAGGTTGTGCAAGTTATTGTGGATGGTGTTGGCTGTCATTTTCCGAACCTATGCACACAGGCACAGAAGCTGGTTTATTTCCAAAACATGGTTCTTTTTAACTTTAAGACTGGTCTCGGCTTTTGCCGAAACAGTCATCCATCACAGAGGAGTATTCCCCGAGTTTTTTGAGAAGGACCAGAATGGACTGTGAATTTATGATTTCAAGATGTGAACAGTATTCTCAGGCGGTTTGAACACCATCCATTTATTCTGAGCTCTGACTCAAAGTGACCACTGGTTTACCATGATTCATAAAGTGTCATGCAGAAATGTAATGCATTTTACCACAGGCATTCTTATCTCTACATATACTACACATGACCCATCCAGCTGTTAATGAAACCATGATGCACTTTTTGAACAACAGTTTCTATTAAATTCTTGTGTCAGCGTTCATTAATATTGATCCCTTTTCATATGTCTTGTATTTCATAATATTTGCCATATTTTATGCTGCACGTTTAATTCCGCCTTTTTCTATTTTTCTATCAGTTTTAATCCAGACTTTCTCCATATGTATATTTTTACCACTAATGCTACACTGCTAGAAGTGTATATTATGTATGTCAGCAGTATCCTCATTTGGAAATCTCCAATCATTAATTAATTTTTTTTTCACATTTTTTTTACTGCTCCATCCTAACTTATTCAAGATGCAGTTCGAGAAAATAACATGTATATAAGATTCCAGGTGGACCACATTTGCTCAATTCTCACCAGCCACTTTTGTACACCTATTTTACTGCTTGTTAACACAAATATTTAGTCAGCCAATCACATGAGAGCAACTTAATATACTGAGGAATGTAGACCTGTTGAGGTTTAAACCAAGTATCAGAATTGGGAAGAAAGTTGGATTAAGGAGCTTTGGATGTAACATGGTTGCTGGTGACAGATGGGCTGGTCTCAGTATTTCACAAACTTCTTGAATTTTCCTGCACAACCATCTCCAGGGTTTAAAGAGGATGTTCTAAAAAGAGAAAATATCCAGTGAGAATCACTTCTCTGCACAGAAATACAGAGATGGGAATGGCCAGACATCTTCGGAACTGACAGGAAGGCAACACTAATTTTAAAAAAAACTTTCAGTGCAACCGAGATATGCTAAAGAGCATCTCTGAATGCACAACATGTTAAAGCAGATAGACTGCAGCAGCAGAAGACCACACCAGTTACCTATTTTGTCAGGTAAGAACAGAAAACTGAGGCTACGGTTCACATAGGGTCACCAAAACTGAACATAAGAAGATTGGAAAAACATTGCGTAGTCCAGTTGCGGTTTCTGCTATGTACTTTAATGGTCGGGTCAGAATTTGGTGTAAGCAACATGGATTGATCCTGCCTTGTATCAATGGTTTTCTGGTGGTTTGTGCAACATTTTCTTGTCACTCTTTGGCACCCTGAACATTGTTTAAGTACCACAGCCTACTTGAGTATTGTTGCTGACTGAAATATGGCATATTCCATAGTTTCTTTACATTAGAGGACTTTTCTTGTGTTAATAACTCTTTTTAGACATTCTGCTTGTCATGGTTCTGGGTCATTTGACATAGCATTTTGAGTTTCATGTGTTTTTTGTGTCATTTTGTATTATATTATGATTTAGGTTCATTTAGTAGTCTTGAATTTATTCCATTTTTTGAGTTTCTTATGTTTCCTGTTTGGTTCCTTTCCTCTCAGGTTCCTCTTGTGTCTTTGTCCTGTGTCCTTCTTGTTTCCCTTTTCTGTTCCCATGTTCCCCTCCATGCGTTCATCCCATGGCTCTCCTGTCTGTCATGTTTATCCATGTTTTACCAGCCTGCCATGTGTCCCCCTCTTGCTCTCTTGTCCCCCCTCACACCCTCTCTCTTCCTCTCTCTTGTGTCCCCTCACTCGTCTGCCTTTCCTCCACTCGTCCCGTGTTGCGATCTCCCTCACGGCTGTGTGTTTCTCCGTGCATTCAGTTCCCAAGTTTCTCCTGGTTTAGTTTGTATTATCCCCGTCCAGCACTGCTTGAATCAAGTTTAAATCAACACACATTTTTTAAAACAGTTTTGAGTTTTTACATTTAGTACATTTTCTTGTTAGTATTTTTGATTAAATTTAATTTTAAATGATTTGTGAATGACTGCATTTCTGTTTTTAATTTTTAACTTCTTTGGAAACAAGGTTGTGCAATGAACCACATAATCAGTGGCTGACTTTTACAAGATGGTTTTAGACCCTTTGATTGGACCGGTCAACATATTGCTGCAATTGAATAACACACTGCAAGTATGCAAAGGTCATGAACGACTTCTTATTTAAAGCTTCCCAAGTCGTGAATTAACAAACTAAAAGCTTAAGAATAAGTTGGTTGGATAAATACTTCCATGTCTGAACAGACAATAAAATGTTTGCCCCCCCAAAAAATCCAACAAAATCAAAAGCAACTTTATTGGACATGAAGCCAAAACAGCTTTAAAAACATCCAGGCTCATCTGGATGGTTTGCTTGTTCTGTTTTTTTCTTCTTGGCAGCTGTTTTGAAGTTTT